TTTTAATTGCATTCTCTTCATAGCCTTGAAGATAAAGCAGGCCGACACAGTCAAAAACAGGATATTGGGATGAAACAGAGAAGCACTGAGGGGCCAACATATTTGGACAGAGAAGAGGCCCAGTGCCACAGTTGACATGATCTCCATGTCAAATGTCTACACATTGCAGGGCCACATCCCCATGGTGGGCAAAGGACTCAAGGCCAAGGGGTAGGGCTAACGTACCAAAAGCTGCAGCTTATTGTAGCATAAGCACTTATTACCAGAAACTAGGCCTTTAGAATAGGGAGGAAAACTGCACAAATGCTGAGAAAGCATCAACTATCATTGGTTGGGGAAAAGGACTTGGCCATCCAGGGAACTTCTGAGAGCTGGATTTGGCTCCCAGGCCTAAGTTTTTGCACCTCCACTGTAGGGGGTTGTGGTTCCTCTGTGAAAATACTTGCTAGTTTAAATTCACAGAATTAGTTTTACCAGTTTTTTCCATCCAGCAAGCAGGTCTAACATTATTTACCTTTTTTATTTCTATGCTGGTGGGATAACATGACAAACCCATTTTAATAAGCTAATTCACCCTTTCCCAATGTGTTGCCCTCCAGATGCTTTGAACCACAACTTCCTTCAGGCCAGACAGCATGAATAATGGTTAGTTATGATGGGAAAAACCAAAACCACTGGAGGACAACACAGTGGGAAAGACTGAGCTCATTAGTTATTATTTATGATGGAGTGGAGGGAGGGAGGGAGGGAAGACTGAGGGTTTTATCCTCTTTTTTCTGCAGGAATCTTTAACTTCTTTTAGCTTCCTTCCAATGTAATTTAACAGGAGCTACTAGGAATCACGTCTGCCTTCTCTGCATAGCTCTGCTTTTTCTTCGACGTGCATAACCACATATTGAATTCCTTTTCTTTGTCACAGAAAAGTGTGAGGAAACTTCAGGAACTGGATTTTGTGTATACACCTTATTGAGTCATTTATATCATTTTAAAAAGACTAAAAATTGGTATCTATGCTTTGTGGGGAAAAGTGAAGGAGTACCTTCTGCGGAAGGCAGATCCTGGATCCAAGCCTGATTTCACACTGTTCATGTTGAAAGTGATATATTATTTTACTACATCCTCTTTGTTTACACACACACACACACACACACACACACACTGACATGAATCCTTTCCAAATGTTTAAGTGCCCTTTGCCAAGATACTCTCAATAGGATTCCTCCTTCAGTGAATTCAGCTCTCTAAATTTCATGGAGGATGAAATTTTCAGTTGCTACTGGTCATGAGGGCTTTTATTGCCTCAAATGCATTATGCTTCTAAATATGTCTTGCTGGGAACATGAGCCAGAGGGTACTGTTGTATTTAAGACCCACTGTGGGCATCACATCCCTTGGGAATCTGATTGGTGACTCTATGAACAGAATGCTGATTTAGATAGGCCTAGGTCTGATCCAGTCGGACTTTTCTTATGTTCTTAAGGCTGCGGCCCTCAAGAACACAGAGGTGTTTATAAAAGGCATTGGTCCTAAAGCCAAGAATGATGAGGACCTATGTTCCCCAAAATTGTTGGGGAAAACCATCCAGAAATCACTAGATATCCTGTACGAGAACAGAGCCAATTACATTTCCAGTGCACAGACTATGTACAGCTCAGGCAAAAGTCCTCAAATCTGTAAACATGGGCTTTCTTGTCCCACGTGCTTGAAATGCCCATGCATCAGCAGACTTCTTGATATGTACAAATGCTTTTATTTCCTTTCAGTGTACTTTCTTGAAACATGATAGCCCCAATAAGAACACTTATAGAGGGTCAAGGTGTATATCCCACCCCCCAAAAATACACTCCAATCCAAGTGTTCTTTACAACATCATACCAGTAGCACTTTTAATGCTTACAACCAATATTTACACTTCATGAACTCCTTTGTAGAGTTTTAAATTGTCTTTTATCATTTGTGGGTAGTTTTTCTGTTTTGACATTTCAGCAGGCAATTACTTGCATCCCTTAACATGAGAAATAGAACTTCAAGCATGACAGTGTTTGATAAATTGCTAAGCGCCTACGCCTAAGACTGTCAAAGAAGCCATGACATTTTTTAAAATTAACTTTAAACTAAATTTCTAAGCCACCGGATGACAGTCAGATCGTGTGTAAGATAGTTAGATTTTTTTTTTTAATGGAGCCAAGCAGTCAACCTACAGATTGAAGTTGTCAAGCACAAGATCACGGCCCAGTTGATTTCAGAATCATTTTGAAATGAGTACATCTTCCTTTTTATGTTTTCCAAGGCATCTCCAACAATTATATTACTATCTGTACACATCTAAGTCCCACTGAGTGCAAACATCTTAGGCAGATCCTGTGATACCAGGTAAAACAGACACCTATTCGAAGAGTATATCCACCTGCACTGCAGACTTAAACTGATTTGACACAGATTTCTAAAAAAAAAAAAAAAAAGGAATTCTAATACCAGGGGCAATGGCATGGGGATCTCTAACAAAAAATTCAGAACAATCTCAGTAAACTGCATTTCCCACAATGCTGGGGAATTCTAGGGGAAGCTATTATAATTGTAAAACTGACAAGAGTTTGTGCTATGAATGCGCTATAAGGAACTTTCTGCAGTTACTGTGCCTCTTGTCAAAGGGCAATTTACCTTTCGTTGCAGTGTCTTCTTCAGATCCCTTCTTTTGGCACAAACCCACAGGTGGTGCTTCTGCTCCCATTTGGCATAAGATCACGCTTATCTGGACAGGTGGGCAGGGTTCCGTCATATACATGTGTGGGTCCATGTTGGAACTGCAGTAGTACAAGTCACTGCGACACAAATTCACCTGTAAGATTTATGTGCCAGAGACAGAACAAAGGAGCTGCAACATCCAATAACATGCCAATAGAGTTTCAATTCTTCCTACAGTTTTCTTTGCCAAGAAGAATTTCCATGTTAGCACCTTTACTGATTTATTTAACCAGTCCTTTATAGGCTTCCTTTTAGCCCTAATACTTCCTGAGGGGCTTTTATGACATATACATTTAAGCGAGTTGCAGTTCAAACAATTAAAACATACTAGTTGCAGCAGCTGTCACTGTGTGCCGTAGCCCTTCCCTCGAGTGATCCTCAGTGCAGCATTTAGGCCAACCAAGAATGCGGTTGGAGTCGCTGAAAGATGGCCGTCACCCTTCCATCAAATATAAGACCTGCAGCTTTATCCAAGGTTGCTTCTCAAGAACATCACTGCAGTACCGCTTCTCCAAAATGAGAAAGGAACCCCAACAGTTGTCCCACACAACACTTAAATAGTGTATTTCCCCCATTAAACATGACAGCGTTTGTACCTCCAGGCAAGAGTCCATTGTAAGTTTACTTAACAAGATTTTCCAAGTTTCAAGGATGTGCATACAGAATTTGTTCGCCTGGGTGTTTCATATATTTTTGACCTCCTGAATGCAACTATCTCTATGGCTAAATTATACGCTAAAGCTAAGAGCAGCAGCCAGGATGGCTGACAGCAACTGGTTGCCAGCAATTTCATAGGGCTGTTGGGCAACTACAAAGGCATGTTGAGAGGTTAGGTCTACTAATATAATTGTCCTATGACTGCACAAGTAATTTATGACATTTATTGTATGTTACTGAACTTAAGTTATTTTTGTTCCAAACTAATTACTAGGGAAAGTGGAGAACATTCACCAGTTGCAAGACAAGGAGAATCCTTTGAATTAGTACAGTAGTTCTTCCTCCAAGAAAAATGGGAAAGATGGCTACATGTAATTTGTTCTTGGGCAATTCAGTAGACCTAATTCACAGCTATTTTAATTGTATGCTTTATGGTTGCCATTATGCTGCTACTAGATCTTTTAACCCTGCAGGGACCTATTTGCGTTTTCAAATGGGAAAACTATGGGCAAAACTTCAGATCTTTTCTAGTTTCTTTTACAGTCTATTGATTTCCCAAAGGTATAAATGCCATATAGAAATATCACTGCAGTCCTGCCAGGTTTGCAGGAGAGCAGCCCCTGGCATGCAATCAGCATAAATATCTAGTTTATGTCTCAGTTTCTTACATGATCCTTGCAAAGTAGTAATCTCCTACTGTAGCATTATTCTACAGTAGCAAAGTAGGACAAACCTCCCTCATGTACCTTGTATATTATCCTGCTAGGATAATACTCCTGGCATATACCTTTCTCAAGCAGCAACACAGTGGTAGTAACACATACCTACACAGAGCAGGTACTGTATCCATTTCTAATCCTGTGGTGCCGAAACATGTTACTGAGATCAGAACTAAACTACAGTAAACATGAGACTGCTACTGGCTGCAGTTTGTTGGTGCTGCTGTAACTACATGCAGCGAATGTGATTCTTCAGTGATCCAATATTAAATAGAAACAATTCAAAAGAAACCCCAGCCAAGCTGTGCTGTGCGCACAGTGTTTGCCCAGTCATATCCAGCACCACGCTGGATGTAACAGACAGGATGGAGAGGCCACAGCGAATCATCCTGTTTGGCAATTACAGGCTGTTTTGTGTGCGGAACAGGAGAAACAACATTCTGGTTAAAATAACTGGGTCAGAAAGGGTTGAAAGAGATGGCAGTGGGCGCTAGGGAAGGAAAAGCAGCTCGACAGGCATTTAGCATCAGGGAAGAGAAACACAACTCATACAAACAGGGTGGTGAATTGTCTAGCAGAATATATATATTCTCTTGTATAGGAGCAGCAGCAGCTGCATCCAAGGCAACTAAACTCTGTAGAGTTTTGCAGCGAAAAAGATAGTTCCTATCCCCAGGCTCACAGCCTAATATAGCCTTCCCTAACCTGGTGCTCTCCAGATGTGTTGCATTACAGCTCCTGGCACATCTAGTCAGCATGGTAACTGGCTGTGCTTGATGGGAATTCGAGCCTTGGTCTCAGGTCTGAGAAGGATAATCTAACAGATACAACTGAAAAGGACTAGGTAGGGGAAGGGAAAGCAAGCACATGTGAACAAAATTATCCAACTTGTTTAATTTATTCCTTAATATCACAGCTGTACAATTTTCATACATACAGAAGGAAATGCACATTGGCTATACCATGGCATGTAGATGCATTCCCAATTATAATACAGTTAAGTGCAACTCCACTTGAAAATGTACATTTTTACAACTTATACAAAGTAAAGACTGCTACACTATTATTTGTGACAGTATAAAGCTTTGATTTATGTTAAGTTTCATTACTAAACCACTTCCTGGTTAAATACAAAATATACTAAATCATTTTTAAAAGGCCATTGTGGTACTTGGCCAGTATATAAAATATGTTGTGTAAAATTTAACCCTTTGCATTTTAAAAAATAAGCTTGTAGCTGTAGTTAAACATCTGATATTGAACTGCTAGACTGACGCATTTAACAGGAGCCATACTGTAACTTCTTTGCTTTTGCATTGATCATCACCAGAAGAAATGCACACTCTGATCCTAAACACATCCCTTAGAACCAAGTCCCACTGAATGCAAAGGGCCTTAATTCTCAGTAAAATGTTTAAAATACAGTGTAAGGCTATAATGCTAAACCATTTTCTTGGAAGTAGCAGTGACTGAAATAAACAGGACTTCCAAGTAAATGGTCATTATCCAACTCAGAATTAATTGCACTTAAGGCCACTGAAACCAGTGGGCACAAACATGCTACATACTGTGTTGGATTGCACTCAATGTGTTTATGGTTAGTTCACACTGTACTGCTGCTTTATTTGAACAGACTATAGAACAATTTTCTGGAAAGGTAACAGCATTCCTCTATAAAGAAAAATGGAATGCAATCCAAGAATTTTTTTACTATCTACATTTTCAATGGCAGAGTCTTACCAACTTGTGAAAACATGTTTTTCATAAGATGAACCCAAATATTACTCTTACTTTACTGTATGTTTTAGCCTACAGACCATGTTCTTAACAGCTGTATCAAAAGGAAAAAAAACCAAACATTTCCTCAATTACCATTCCTATGACAGAATGGATTGATTTAATGCATTCTTTAAAAATATACATTTTACAATCCTGACACCTCAACAAAAGGTGAGACTGAGAATAAATATATTTTCAAGGCTTTATTCTCTTCTATTTCAGAAACTACCTGTTGTATGCCCTTTCTTTTTTAGATTTCTCCAGTGCTTTGTCCATAGTCTTCTCATTTTCTCCCCTACATTTGGGGCAGTACCACTTGCCCTTTGGTTTATGATTGAGTCCCACACACGAGAAGTGAAACCATTCAATTGGGCACTCATCATTATCACAGCCTATCATTTCTCCATAGGAGACCTGATTACACAGACAGTAAGTCGGCTCATTGGGATCAATGGGAAGGTCTGCTGGTGAGGCCTCCCTCTCTGCTTTGGCCTTAGACCTTTTCTTTTTCTTGGAAGTTTTTGCTTTCTTCTCCTTTGGAGTTCCTGAGGTTATATCATCATGATCATGATTATTTGAAGCATTCTCTCGATTTTCATTATTTCTTTGCCTCCGAGACCGTTTGTTGTTGGGCTTCTCAGCCTGAGTGATCGTCTCATTCTTTGATTTATCTTGGTTAGCTTTGCCACTGTTTCCAGTTGTGTCATTAGTCTCTGGGCAGGCTTCAAACAGTTCAACATGGCTATCTACTTGCCTAGTTCTGTTCTCAACAAGTTCTACCATTTGACTGACAATCTGAATTTTTTCATCTCCCAGTTCTTGACTTCGGATCAGTGCTCTCTGTATGCAATGCAACAGTCTCCTCTTTTGTACTGCATCAGTCTCTCGTTTGAATTTTTCATAATAATCATCCAGCTCCTTCAAGATATCTAAGAAGAAAGGATAAGGTTAGGTTACTTGTCAGCCTTGTACATAATACAGCTCAGAGTCACAAGTTCTGATTTGTTCAAGACAGACTACTCTCTATAGTAAATCTAAAACTATTCGACTCCTAAGCATAGCTACTTAGGAACAATAGGCAACAAAATAGATTGATTTGCTCCTATATGAAATTAATTATATCTCAAGAATTTTCTCAAAGGCTCAGCTCCAAACCATCTGCAATCCAGTGCATAGTTAAGAATTTCGCTGGCTGAAGCATCAACATGGTGAAATTCCTGCCCTAAGGAAGTTTGCCCCGCCACCTTTTTTATCACTAATTCAACCAACCAAAAGCTGTGCATTTCCTGGGAGCCTTTGAGACCTCTAAATTTGAGGAAACTCTTGCTTGTACTTTGCAGGTTTCCCTTCTGTTGCATGAGAAATGAGTTATTTCTCCTGTTTTTCTGACTGAATTTCCCTCTTTTGTTTGGGTATGTATGACATTTAAATCACTTTTCCACCCAGACACAGTAACTCTATCCACCAAGGCCAACCACCAGACATGCTGGGCGTTGTAGTCCAAATCGTCGGAAGGCACAGTTGCAGAAGCCCTGTTTAAATAAGTCATATTTAGGTGTGTTTACGAAGGTGACTTTTGAACCAAGGGCCATGTAACTCAATTCAACCCTAGGCACGTCCACTCAGAAGCAAGTCCTACTGAGCTCAATTAATTTACTCCCGCGGAAGGGAGGAGAGGCTTGAAGCCGCAACCTCGTGTTTAACCGATCTCTCTGTTTCCCCGAGGATGTGTGCCACGACTGCTTCGCCGTTTAAAAAAAGGGTTCTTGCCCATGCTGGAAGCGGGCGAGAGAAACGCGCCGGCGCTGCGAGCCAAGCGCGCACACCCCGTGGCGAACTCGGGGCTGCCGGCCGCAAGGCTGGGAAACCTGGTGATCGAGCGGGCAGTTCATGCGCGATGCCGAAGGCCGCCTGCCAGGGCTAAATCCCGGCGACCTCCCACCCGCAGCTGACAGCGCGATGAGCACGGCCGGAAGCGTGACCGGGGTCGGCGGGGAAGCCGGCCCGCCGCCGCCCGCTGGCCGGACGCGCGGCGGGCGGGAAACGGCCGCTCGGCATCCAGCACCAGCCTGAGGATCGGGGCGAAATCCGCATGGCGCGCGCAGGAAGCGGGAAGGCGAATGTCTCCGGGCTCCGCCCCTTTGCCGACAGCGCGCTCGCGCCCGCTCCGGCATTGGAAGAGGGGCCTGCCCGTCACTCCCGCCTCCCAGCCCCGGAGCCACCCACGGAACGCCCGCCTTGGCCTCGCCTCCTCCTCTTCAGGGAACGAGGCCAATCCCTCCCCTCTCCTCTCCTCCCCTCCCACAGGATACGTTCGCAGGGTCCATTGTTCTTAAAAGGGAAGTGGCGGTGTTGAGGGAGAGTGGCAGAGTGTGCGTATGAGTGTGCATAGGTATGCCTTTGCCTTTACGTCGGCCTTCAGCTAAAGATATGAGAGGACCGATAGTTGCTCAGGTAACCAATCAGCAACTGGCAAAACCGCCCAAAGCCCGCCTTGGAAAAAACCGGCCAGTTGGAATAAGAAATCACGCCGATAGCCCGCCCACTACCTCGAGAGCATCTCCACCAATCAGGAGGGAAATCCCCAAACGCCTATCCGCCTCTTTTAATGTCAACGTTCCAATCAGGTCTCGGAGGTGGAGCGGCGGCAGCCTCAGCTTCCACATCAACCCGTCAGTCACCGAGGGCTTTCAACGCTTCCTGCAACTGGGGGAGCCAATCATCCACTGAGAAGCAGACGGGGCAGTTCGAACTGTTACAACAACACCTCCCGCCCCCCTTTCACCGTTCGGTTTTGTCAGCGTCACTAGGAGGCGAAGCTCTACAGAGAATTCGGGAGAACTAATCACTGAGCAAGAGGGCGGCGCCTCGACTGTTTTATGAGGGAAGTTCTAGCCAATAATGGCAACCAGAGGTGGAGCAAGCACAATAGGCGAATGACCATGAGGTATAAAAGCGGCGGTGACGGTGCCTCTCACTCTCTTGCTAGAGCTTAAGCGCAGAAGCGCCTCCCTTTAGCGCAATGGAGAGCCTACAACGGGTTGAAATGCCCGCCCTTGTCCTTTAACAATATCCCCTTTCCCTTCATCCCTGGTCTCCCAGGCGCTTCCATCGCCAAGTTAATGCTGGTTCCCCACGTTCTGTCTTGCATCTCCGCAGTCGCCCTCTCTCTTTGCTCTTGTTTCCCTACTTACGACATATTAAAACTCCTCACCGCGCGGAAGATCTCAAATGGATACTTGCTGCTTCCCTCTCCCCTTCATAAGTGCAGGAATAACCTGACAGGTTTCCACCCTCCTCCATGCCGCCGGAGACATGGGGAGTCCAGTGTGCTACGGACACCCCAGTGTCACCTCTACCAACAGCCGTAGCACTCTTTCCAACCCCCTCCCCACCCTTTTACCTCTCGCAGCTCCAAGTGACAAAGGACCTTTCAGGCCCCCTCACTAACTAAAACCACCATTTCCCTGGCTGCAGAGTGAGCGAGGGGGAGAGAATACTGCCTCTCTCCATAAGAGCTGCAAAATACTGTATGAGTTTCAGGAGGGAGGAAAAGAAGAGAGGGAGGAACGGGGGGGGCACTCAGTAAGCAGCACATCCCCAACCCACACAGTATTTATATAATCCCCCTCCACTTTCCAGTCGCACCCCCACACAGATACTTGAGGGGAGGGAGCTGTTTTAAAAGCAAATCCCATTGAAAAAAGAAGAGGGAACGAAGGCAACAAGCCCGGCCCACCCCCTTCCACACTCAATCTAGTCCACCCTCCCTCTCTCCTTACTAGCACCCTCTGCTACTACAGCCATTGCAAATACTAGAAATTCTTCAGTTTTGTGCTCTAATCGCTCTCCCCTTTCTTTCTCTCCGCTCACCCCACTACTGTCCCGCTATACCCAGAAAGCATTCCCTCTCAAACCGGAGAAAGAGAAACAGTCGCCTCGGTGCCCCATGCGTCCTGATTCCCCTGCCCCTCCTCTACCCCTACTGCTGCCGCCGCCTTTTTTGTCCAGCATTTTTACACCTAAAAAGCCAAGTCCTCGCTGAATATCAGAAGCCCAAAAGACCTTTTGTTCCGCCCCAAGGAAAAAGAAAGCCCCACAGGCAATCGCTGCAGAGGAGCCCCCTTCTCCTCTTCGCGAATCTCTCTCTAGATTTCTGCTTGTCTTCTCACAAATAAATAAATAATAAAAAGCTACCATCCGCTTCGGGATGGGGGGGAGGGAGGGAGAAAAGAGAAAGATACATACATGAGAGATCATCTCTGCAGAAAAGGCAAAGCTATGTAGCTTCTACATACTCTCGCACACGAACACATAAAGGAGAAAGCACTTACCTTGATATTTGGCGTCAATTTCCCTCATCACGGAGACATTTCTCTGCAGATCGAAGGGCAGAGATTCGATGGAGTCCAGGTAATCCTCCACATAGTTTGCTAAATGAAGCTGCTCTCCGTTTGCAGGATTCAACATTTTCATCCGGCCGAAAATTGTGTGTGTGTGTATATATATCCTCCTCTCACCCTAATGGGCGAGAGTTTCCTTTCAAACACAGCAGCCCCGATGGCAGAGCCTCAATTTTCAGCCGCCTTTTTTTCTGTCTCCTCTTCCTTGGATCTAATAAAAAGACCACCTAAAAAGCTACATCGGAGTCTTTTCTTTCGAAAGCAGAAAAGCAAGCAGGCACACACACAGTCCGCGAGTCCCTACAGCCCCGGAGCAGCAGTAGCAGCTGATTGAATGGCTGTCGTTGTCGGTAACTCACCAAGGAGGTGGTAGGAACAATCAGAGGGATTTGTGTGTGTGTGTGTCTGTGTGTGTATAAGAGAGGGGAGGGAGAAAGGGGAGAGGAAGCTCTTAAAAATCAGATCTTCCCCAGACAGACAAATAAGGTATCTTCGGTTAAAATGCTGGACAGAAGGAAGGAAAAGCTTTTCCTCGCGAATGTAGCTACTCCTGTTTCGCCGGTGATATTAATGCAGCTTTCTCTATACGCTGCACTTGATCCAACGTGGAAACCCAAATACCAGTTTCAAACACTTGGGAAACATTCAACCCCGCCACCCAATGCGCATGCGCACCACTCCCATAGGCTCTCTTTACCCCCCCCTCCCCGGAACAGCAGCAGAAACGCGCAATGTGCCTGTATCTATTTAGTCATTTATCCCCCTCCTTCACTACTCACAGTTAAGGAAGTGAGACCGCGAGGCGAGGCGGGGGGGGAAAGGGAGCGGAGAGTGCTTCATAGCTAAGTTGCTGCCAAGGTGCACAGGCGTGGGGGGTTGTGCTTGCACGGCAAAACACATGTTCTGATGTGGACGTGTCTCGTGTGTAGAACTGAAATACTGCTTTCTGTTACTTCGCGAATGCACGAAAAAGCAAGAAAAACAGACATCATGTTGACTAGATTTAAGTAGGAACTTGAGCTGTGCGCCCCTCAGTAGAGAGCATGCATGCGTCTTAAAAGAGCAAAACAGAAACGGACGTGTGAAGTTTGTGGGCGGTGTTTGCTTAAGCTACCTCTGCTTGCGCGCCCGCCCCTGTGTAACTGCAGAGCTCTGGCGACGGGTAGCTTGGAAGCATCAGGGTAAGATTTAGGTTGATGCTTTTTCACTTGTTTGAAGGGGAGCGAAATAAACTTGGAGGAGTTGGTTTGAAGCTTGCCGCAGACATCCAAGGTCCCTTCTTCCTTGTCTCCCATCTTTGTCGGCCTCTCCAATAAGCTCTTATTTGCGGCAACAGAAAAATGTAGCAAGCGAAAACTCGCCCTGCAGGCAGGCTATTGGAATCCCTCCCACGTTCCTTTGCATTTTCTGCATCCCCCAGTTTGCATGACTTTTCTCACTTGAAGAAAGAGGATTTCTCCTTGCCTCCCTGAAACTAACCCAAGCAAACTGCATCAATAATTGTAATCCGGTAAAGACAGCACTCCTGTCCAATCAACCCTCACTTTACACCCTTCACTCTTCCTGCCTACCCAATGAAAAACCGCGGGTTATAAGACCGGAAGAGAGAAACCACAAGAATGGATCAGCGCATGCGCCACCCTAATCCGTAGGCTAGGAGAAAATGGAGGGTACGAGGAGGGAAAGGTGAACTACATTTCCCGACAGCCTTTGTGGTTTTTGCTTTGTCGCATGCGCGTGGGTTGTGGCCATTGCAGTCCGAAACGGGGTAGACCCAGTACTTTAAAGGTTGGCTGATCTGAAAATCAAAGCACACTCAGCTGCAGAAAACAAAAGGAGGGGAACGATGTATGCGTGGAGCAAGGCTAACATCTGGCCGGGCCGGAGGCGAGATGGAAGACAGGGTGGCCTTCAGTTATTCGTATCTGAGTTTATTTCCCCCCGTAGCTTAGAAGTGATGCTGAGACAATCATCTCCAAATAGCCACGCTGTTTTAAAAGTACTTTTGGGAAGATGACCTTATGGTGAAGGAAAGTCGATTTTAAGACGATGAGCCTATGGAGAAAGCACTAGAGAAATGTGGACAAGGCGGGCGGGGAGCTAAGTGCGTGAAGAGTCTTGCGCCTGTGAAGAGCACGGTAGAAGGACGAAGGCCAGCATTGTGACGTGCGGCTTAGATTTGTAGTATGGTAGAGCAGATATCCATTTTCCTCTAAAGATTTCCACCGATCTTTCGAACTCCCACATTCTTGACCAGTGACTTTTCCAAGGGAAGGGCTAACTGATACATTTTTATAGCCGCGAAATTGATTGCTTGAGTCTTCAGCACTTCCCGTCACCTGCTTTACTGGGAGGGTAAAATTATAATTTTAAAGCACTTTGCCGCTGGAGATGCTCTACAGAAATGGACATGAGTGAAGAGAAATGGAAAGCAAAAATACGCTTATCTGGCACCGCTGCTTCCTTTTGAAGCACATGCAGTGGAGCATGCCGCGTTTGGATTTTTAAGTTTTAAAACGGCTGCATGAATAATTGTCGCCTGCGTAACTAGCATGGCGGTAGAATGCCCATTTGGGAGGACTGAGCTAGCGGGCAAGAAACAGCCCGACCAGTTTAAGCGATCCTGGGGTGGTGCGGGAAGATAAACACGCTGTCACCCTTTTAATCGGCAAGGACGCAAGAATCGCTGACTATATGCACGAGGGAGAAGGAAGCATCAACTGCTCCCACGGACATTTACTTATCTGAAGTAATATCTTGGCAGCTTCTGGAAACAGCATGACCAAGCCTGCAGCCGCGGGGCTGGGTTAGAGGAGCGCTTCTTCTTTAAAACCGAGGGACATTAGTCTTTGCAGAGAAAGAGGCGGCGAGCACAACCATTTCCCCCAAAGAGGTTGTAACGATCAGGGAAAACTGGGGGAAAGATCCTACTTCCTTCATTCCTCTTTCTCTTCCACACCCTTATCCCGAGGAGGAGGAGTTGGATTGGTCCTGATAGAAAGGGTTTCACTGATCTGCCGCTGCTTAAGCCCTGAATAGTAGTGAATTTCAGTGATGGCAGAAGGGGAGGAGCTTTGCTAAAAGACACGGGTGCTTTGTTGTCTTCTGTTTGCTCCTCGTTCTCAGTGAGTAAGGTTCCCTTCCCTTCTCTTTCTTTTTTTTGTTTGGCTCAGCCAACAATAGTATTTTAAAAAAATAAAAAAACTCTTAATCTGAACAACCCTCACACGGATACAACCACTGCTCCCAGAACCTGCTCACCAAGCTCCTTGGAGGGCAATTGTTCACTGGCTCTCCATAAACCCTTTCCTCCATAAATTCCCCCCAGCCTTACATCTTGTTGGCTGTTATGCCTGGCATAAAGTAAAAGGGCATGAAGAGTGGCAGAAGGGAGATCTTTAGATGTTTTAGACTTCAACTCCCAGCATTCCTGACCCACTGGCCATGGAAGAGACTTGTGGGAGTTGAAGTGCACAACATCTGGAAATCTTCCTTCTGACCACTCGGATTCTAAATGATGCCTGAGCCTTTACAAAGGAACTTGTTCTTGTTTGGAGCACAGCATCACTGCTTCCAGTTGTGGTACCATGACAATATACTATAGGACACCACAGTATTCTCTGGGATAGGAAGGTTTTTCCATTCAGACTTGTGTTCTTGCTAATCTGTACACAGAAATTAGAACTGTTAATAATCCCTTCGTTCAATCCTATTTACTTCAAGGCAACAAAAATAATGCTGTTGAAGTAGACTGATCTGAACAAGTATGTCTTAAAATATTTTGCACATTACACTGGAAGCAATGTTTGTATAACTCATGTCTTTTAGTTTTTAAAACTTTATTTCAACAAAATATAACAGATACAAGGAGACAAAACACAGGTTACATACAATGAAGATGTAGGACTGGACTGAGACAAAGGTTGCAATCCTATCCACATTGTGGAATTTGAATGTGGAATGGCTGGGTCTGGGATACCTGAAGGAGTGCCTTATTTCCTATGGGCCCTCCTGCTCCTTGAGATGTGGAGGTCCTGCTCTGGGAGTCCTCATTGAAGAAGCTTAGGAGGGAGAGTACCCAGAGGAGTACTCTGATTATGGAACACGCTCCCCAGAGAGATTTGCCTGATGCCGACGTTATATTCTTTTTGGTGTCAGGCAGAACCCTTTTTATTTTCCTGCTATTTTAATGTGGAGTTGATTTTAACTGGGGTTTTGGTATATTAATGGTTGGATGCTGTGGGGTTTGTTTTATTCTACTTATTTATTGTAAGCTGTCCCGAGACATTTGTAGGGGATGGGATAGAAAAGCTTTTAAGAAATAAATAAATAAATAAATAAATAAATAAAATGTCAGTTTCCTTATGACAAGTGTGGGGGGAGGAAATGGTGCTGGGATCACATGGAATGCATGAGAAACCTTTTATGTTGGCTGCTCTCCCTTAGAGCTCTGTGTCTGTGGGGGGAGGGGGGCACATGCTGGCCCAGCATGGGCAGGGTGAAAAGTGGGTAGGCCACTTCCTTTCGCTCTTGCTTTTTTCCTACTCCCTTATCTCTCACTAGCCAGCTTTCAAGAAAGTGACAGATTGCTCTTGCCAAAAGTCTGACCTGCTAGATTGCGGAGAGCTTTTGAAATTACGCAAAAGTGTGTTGGTAACCTACTGTGGGCCTAAAAGGGTATTTGTAGTACTATGTCCCAGTCTAGTTTACATTTTGCCCTCATTTTAAAGGTCTATCAGCTACTTTTCGTAAGAGTATCCCCACCCAACAAGATGCAAAATCACAAAAACAAACTATGATAAAATAATAAGAGCACAATGCGATGACAGAAAAAAGGCCCTACAGCTCCAGTATGCCTCAGCCAGGGTGGCTGCCTGCGCTATGCCGAGCATTTGTAGGGCTTTTTCCCTATCTAACTATGCAAAGCCTTGCACCCACATGCTTTTTTTTTCAGAATAGTATGGATCAGCATTTGGGATAGGTGACTGGGAAAATCTTCTGTTACAGTAAGCTGGAAAAGACATGATTACATGTAATGAAATAAGTAGAACTATTGTTGTTTATTCAATGTATGAGTTGCCCTATAGCCAAGCTTTCAGGATGACAGACATAATAAAGGCAAATACAATAAAACAGTGCTAAAAGCAGTAAGTCATTAACATACATTTTTGAAAACCTCTTAAAGCAGCAATGACCTTTTATTCTAATAATACTTTTTAAAAGATAAATATTTGGGCAGCTATAACATGGCACAATATTATCAAAACACCATGTTTTATTTAACATAATAATGATAAAAGGCATAGAACAAGAAAGTTATTTCCCTGATGCTAAAAAGGTAATAAAATAGACACCAGGCCAACTCCTCTAGGGAGGGCACTCCAAAATTGGGGGCCACCACAGAAAATAATCAATTCACAAGTAACCATCCACTGAATCTCACTATGTGGAAGCACTCAAAACAGGGCTTCCAATGTTGATCTCAGGGCACGTGGAGGAATATATGGGAAAATATTATCCTTTATTACTAGGGCCCTAAATTGTGAAGGGCTTAATAGGTTAACACCAGCTCCTTGAATTGGGCCTGGAAACAATCTGGAAGCCAGTGAAGATTATGAAATACTGGCATAATGTGGTCATAAGGCCCAGGTCCCTAGCTGCCACATTTTGAACTGAAATTTCCAGGCAGTCCTCGATGGCAGTCCCAGGTACAATGCATTGCGATAGTCTAACTAGGAGCTAACTGGGCCTGATCACTGGAACTAGGCTATCTCTATCCAAGCAGAATTGCAGCTTGAGCTTCTAGAAGGCGCTTTGTGCTGCAAAAGTGACAGTCGTGCCTCTGGTAAACAATGGTAATATTTAAAGTAGGAGAGGATAACCTGGAATTATAATTGATGTGCTCTATAAATGTACAAGTGATTTTTGCCTATTATGGAATTCGATGGGGCTGTGGTCAACTTTGCATTCCTGGGGGTGAGGGAGAGTGAACTATTGGTGCTGAGAGATGCATATTTTTAGGAACTTCGGGAGACTCGAAGTAACCTCGAATTGGGGAATAGCTACCCAGAGATCAGCTGGGAAGCATACTTCATATCTGGTACTCTGAAAGCAAACCATAGTTCTGCTAATAGTTACGGACAGGCCCAAGGGTTTTCTAGGCCATTGTGGAAGTTGCCGGCCAAGAAGAGGGAACCTCTGGGCGGACCAGAGTGTGCAGCTCTCCCTGCTGGGAGCGCCCGCCGTTCCTCGCCACACCCACCTTGCCTTGGATCCTTTTTGAAATCGGCGGACTCGGCTGGCCGTGCATTACATTTCTATGGATGTTTCCTCGGTAGACCCACTGTGCTCAGTGATGCTTACTTCCCGGTAAACCTGCCTAGGACTGTAGCCTAGGACTGTACATTTAAGGTCGCCGTGCCACTTTCAAAGTCAAAGGGAACGAGGAAAATTTGGAAGGAGAAAAATACGAAGAAGGCAAGGGCTAAAGCGCTTGCAGCCGAAATATCCTTTCACCAGCGCCGGAGGAAGCCAGATACACACGCACTCCCACCTTCTCTCACTGGCGTGGGCAGCGAAGGCTCCGCCTTTTCCTGCTGGGGTCTTGCTGTAGCTACCACTCTTCGCGGTAGGCGCACAGGCGGCGGCGGCGGTTCCTACAGGCGGCGGCGGCTGTGCAGCTTTCCCTTCCTCCTCCAGAGCCAGGCAGCGCCGCCTTCTTTCTGAGTGGGAGGAGATATTCGCCAGAGCTCCTCGGTTCCTGTCTGCGGGCCATGTGGGTTGTGCGTCTGTATGTTGCTGGCTTCGGTGCAAAAAGCGCTTTTAACAGAAGCTATTTCTGCAGTCGGTGAGCGGTGGGGCTGGTCCGGCCGCAAAGAAGCATGTTTCGCGTTCTGACCACGCCGTGGGGCGCCGGCTGCCTGGGAGCTGCCGCCCGCGGGTCGCCGTGGTGGGGTCCAGGGCGCTGCGCAAGACTGGCCCTTGAAGCTGGCGGAGCTACTCCTGCTGGTGAAGGGAGGCTGGCTCTGGATGAAGCTTCGCCGAGGAGAAGGTGCTGTGGCGCCCCAGAGCACGGGACTAAGTGGATCAAGCCCACAGGCCGAGACACGGGCATCCAGACCTACAACAGCCTGAGCAAAAGCAAAGAGCCGCTCATATTGGGGGACACCGATGTGGTGACTTGGTAAAAGATTCAGCATCGCCTGTCTTTACCTCTGCCTAGTGCAGCCTTCCCCTGCCAGGTGCCCTTCAGATGTTGGGATAGTCAGGGATGCAGGGAATTGGAGGCCACTAGGTAGGGGAAGGCTGGCATAGCGAATCCATGTCATATAGGTAGTGAGATCGCCTGTTTTATTTTTATGCATTCTTTCAGGGCAGGACTTCTCAACCTGTATGGCCCATGCCAGCCCTAAAATCAACAGGTGGATTTCTTGGGAGGGTTGGGGGAGGAAGCCTCACTTCTTGAGCTTTTGAAGTTTCTTGCCAGGAGAAAAAATGGTCGGAAAACCAATCAACACAGTTTCCTGCACTTACTTGAAAATAAGTGCAATTGAGCTGAAAGGGTTTACACCTGAAACCTAGGCACAAACTTTTAAGATAGAGCAACCTTTGCAGGATGCTCCACAACAACTGTTTGATCTCAGGGTCGTAGGTGGTCACATTCTAGATCTGGGACTTGCAGTTGGTTGGAATCTGATCAGAACTGCGGTATAATGGACAACTCCATTCTAAGCTAGGAAGCAGTCTGTCAGATGGTGCTTTTAAGTGGACAGAAGGTTCAAGCAGAGACAAGCGTTGGCACACTGAGTCTGAGGAAGTGAGTCCAGGGATGGGAAATGTAGATATTGGCTTCCTCCTGAAGTAAGGTAAGGTAGGAAACAATGGCAGGAAGCTGTGGCCAAGTGTAGGCAATTTAATGGCCTGCTAGATCTTTTGGCCTATAACACCGAGCATCCCTCACCATTGGCTGTGCTAGCTCGGGCTGATGGGTGTTGTAAGGCAATACATCTGAAGGGCCACAGGTTGGGCACTTCTGCTTTAGGAAAAGAAGCAAACATAATTGCTTTGGGGATAAACTAGGAAACCATGCAAAGATCAAAGCTAGTTTTTCAGTCATTCCAAACCTGCCAATTATTTGCACATCAAATATGCTGGTTTGAAAAATCCATGTTTTGCACTGGGCCTGAATGAGGTTTTGTATCTAGAGGACTGATATTTCAAAAATCTCTGTCTTCTGACAGTCTCTCTAGGGAGTCAGTTGGAGGGACACCGAAGTGGATTCTCTTCACTCACCAGTCAATTAGTGGTGGTGATGTACTTTTTTGTAGGCTAGGACACAGCCTAGGGAAGGTGTCTTACCTTGAATTCCTCTGATTTTTTTTTCCTCTCAGTACACCTTAATTTTATCCGCAGGTATAGCTGTGGGCCAACTGTGTATGACCATGCACACCTTGGGCATGCTTGGTGAGTTTTTGAGTGCTGTTTATTTTTACTGTTTAATGTGTATTTCATCAGCTAGCAAAAATATAAAATGGATCATAGTTATGAACATATTATAACTGATTAGTTCATATTATCCAAGAATAGGCCTTCTTTCTGCACAGAGCAGCAGTTAGCCAATTTCATCCTATTGGCTGCCTGAAGAATGGGAAGCAACAGTACAGGCCTATCTCTTTCTCCTTACAGATGTGTCTCATTGGGTGTACTCCTAGGAAACTGGATATAGGATTGCTTGAATGTACTTTTGTTATTATGTGCCATCAAGACATCTCCAATTTATGGCAGCCCTGTGAATGAATGCCCTCCGAAATGTCCTTACCTTAACAGCCCTGCTCAGTTCTTATAAAGGCTGTGGATTCCTTAATAGAATCAATCCATCTCATACTTGGTTGTCTTCTGCCTTTGACTTTCTCTAGCATTATTGTCTTGCCCAATGAGTCTTGCCTTCTCATGAAGCTTTGCTGTATACAGTCTGAGTTTCTCTTCTGTGGATTTGAGTTTTGTGTATAAAAGTCACAGACTGCACCTCTTGCATTTTGTAGCCTTTTGGCTTTACTGTTTGCATTCACCCAGCCTCATAAGTGTATTGGCCAACTGAGAATAACTTCACATGTTTAACAGGCCCTGGTCCTCTCTAAAGCTTATTCCACAATACAGCTGTTAGGCTCATGAATGTGAAAAGAATATTATTTTAATACAGATCTGTCAAGTTACAGATCACATTACTCCAAGAGGCTGAAAATTATTGATCTAAAACTGCAGTATGAATATTATGGTTATTGTAGCACATACATGTTTTTCTTCTTTTTTTCAGTTCCTATGTTAGATTTGATATCATCCGAAGAATAATGACAAAGATATTTGGAAAGGAAGTAATCATGGTGATGGGAATTACAGATATAGATGACAAAATAATTAAAAGAGCCAATGAGGTAGGAGTGGAGTTCTGATTGCTTGATGGAATGGGTTTTCCTTTTTATCATTCTGTTTGTACAACTGCCAGTCTAGGCAACAACATAAAACTGATAGTCTGCACATTTAGTGTCTTTGTATGGATGAAAAAGTTGACTTGACCAGAGTGAGCAAAATAGAGGCACTTTTCCTAGTTGCGGTCAAGAGTGTGATCTCTCCCATAGCTGTCTCTTTTTGAAGTGGATTGTCTTTTCCCACCTTAATGTCTGTTAAGACAGCATTAGCAATAAGTAAAACTAGCCAGGCTTCCCACTTGATCGGGCTTGGAAACTGCTAATTCTTTAAAAGTACTCTTTTAGTGTTTGGCAAAACTTAATGTAGACATGTAAGTCCCAGAAAATTCTAATCTATTTATCTTTTCCTCAGGGGGATACAATTAATACTGAGGTAGCTTAATAGATATCCTGTCATATACAATAATTAAGCAGCTCAGATATTTTGTATGCCAAGCGTTTCTGATATTCTAAATGGTCGTCATGGATTTGTTGACGTAAGGTGACTCTAGTACTGTACAGGGGTGCATTGAGTTTTCGGCCATCCCTACATTTTTTTACATACTGATCACAGCTGCTTCCTTCTCTGAAGCTTTAGTGTGACTTTAAACTACAAAAATCCAGGCTTGTTTTGGATGATCTTAGCTCATATTTTGTGGGGCTGCTGCCTCCTTTCCTCTTGGGTGACAACCCTAGTGCCACATGCCTCTTTATTGGTATTAGGTCTGTTGCTCTACTACAAATTTATGTATTTATCTAAAACATTTGTATGCCTCCCAGTTGTGCCACAGCGCCTCTGGGCGGCTCACAACACAAGGTAAAAACACAATAAAAAACAAATGTAAAACAACTAATCATCCCCCCCCCAGCATATCTTTCCACCACCCCCAGGAGGGCAGTACTACCCACTTTGGGAATGACTTTCTTCGCTAGTCAGAAATCTCAGAGGCATCATGTCCTTAGAGACAAACTCTGATTTCGTTTGGTGAGGAGCCTTCCTCTGACTGGACCTTTTGATGATGTCAGGTAACCAGGAGGGCATCCCAAAGAGGGGAGGCCTTTAGAATGGACCGATGTTTTTTGCTTGTGTGGGTCCCAGCTCCAAACAATTATCAAAATAAAGGAGTTGAATTTCAGGGGAAGTGGATATCTCCCCATTCCATTTCAGTTTGGCCTATTTTGAGCTGAATAATCTGCTCTCTCAGTGAAATGAGCCCTGGTATTAAATACCTTCAGGAACTTCCAAAATCATAGGGACTTTTTTTTTCTTTTTGTTACTGCTCAGGAGAGCTGTCACCTGTCATTCTGGCTTTAAAGTGTTTAGTGGTAATAACTTTATTTGAAATTCAAGTTAAATTTAGATGAAGGTTGTTCCCATTTAAAAAAAAAAAGATTGGTGGTTCTCCCTTGACAAGCAGGATCGTTAGGCTCCTCAGGCTAGCAGTTAATGAGGCTCCTTAGTTTTATCTTGGCTTTCTCTTCTGTCGTTTAGTTATCTGTTAGCTAACTGAGCATACATTTTATATATGCTTAACCAGTATGCTTGTTTTTGCAGATGGGTATATCACCAGTGTCTCTTGCCCGTTTTTATGAGGAAGACTTTAAGCAGGACATGGCTGCCTTAAAGGTACCAGCACTTCATCTGACATGCAGTAGTTCTGAATGTGGAACATGTTTTTTGGCTCCTTCGGCTTATTTCCTAGGATATCAGCATTCCCCACTGAGTTCAAAGGGGCTGACTGCCAAGTTGGTGCTGTTCTTAAGACCTGCCATTCTGCTGTTTTGTTACCACTTAAACTTGCCCCTGATAGCCCACTTAGGATTCTGATTAACTCAGAATTAATCCTTGTCTTTGCTTATATAAAGACTGTCATGTTTCTTTTTTACTTCTGCTCTTTGTCAATTCTGGAATTTCTGGGTTACACCCAAGCAAGAGACAGGTCTGGGTAGCATTTAGTCTTGTATGTTTTCAGAAATGGAGATCAGCTATTGCTTTTCCTTCTCTGCTTGAAGGCTGTATCCTAATTCCTGGAGCACAGGGCCAGTGACTAATTCGTTCTATGTACAAGTTCTATATTGAGATTGGATCTGAAATTTAGACTTCTTGGCTACTGCATCATACCTGACTTGCATTTTTTGTCATGGTTCATCCTCTGCTTTTTGTATCACCTACTCTACCCTTCCGCAGCAACTTAAGTGCTGTTCAGTTGCCATCAGCCTCAGCCAAAATGGTCAATGCTCAGGAATCCTGGGAGCTGTAGTCCAGCCATGGTGGACTGATTTAGCCTGATGATGAGTGCTGGACAACTTGAAAGTTGGCACAGCCTTTTGTGTCATTTTGATTGGTCCTAAGAAAAGTATTTACCATCTGTGAATTTTGGAATATTAACTAGAAATTGTCTTTCTTCTTTGATTTAAGGTTCTTCCTCCTACCATATATATGAGAGTAACTGAAAATATTCCTCAGATCATTGCTTTTATACAGCAGATAATTATTAAAGGTCATGGTTATGCAACCTCAAAAGGTAAGAAGACTTCAGAGCAATATAAACAACAGTTAGTGCATGCAGGACATTTCTTGATTTGCTTGATTTTTATTATGTTGCTTTTGAGTCAGCTTGAATACACCTAGTTAACTTTACTATGTATGTTCAGCAGTGCTTTCTTCTAGATGAGTTAAAAAAGTTGCTGACAGCCCATATTAGAAGAGGCCATGAGGGTTGACTGACTTAGCAACGTGGCCTGGTACCCCACAGCAGCTGTTGCTGTCTGCCCCTCCTGCCGTGCCCTTGCTGGCTGTGGGGAGCATAATCTGGCTTCTGAATTACATCTCCTGCCTAGAAACAGCTGCAACTGGCTATGGTCAGTCCTGGAAAACCTTCCAACGTTCAGCCTGTTGATTTTGTGTGATACAGTTCCTTTTTCCCATGGCTGCTTGCACAGGAGACGTGTGTAGAGGTGGTGTGCTGACTTGTGGGGTTTATGGATTGTGTCCATAATCAGTAGTCAGATATGTGTCATCATTATAATAAGACCAACCTGTTTATTTCCAACAGGTAATGTTTATTTTGATGTCAGTTCTAGGGGAGACAGATACGGAAAACTAGTGACTATCTCTCCTGATGCTCAAGAGGAACCAGGTATGTGAATGGAACTTAATGATGTGTGTGCAAACTTGAGTGTCTTTCCTTAATATATTAGCTGTAGACCACGCAACATATGTTAGATAAGTTTAATATGTTGCTATGGGATACTTTTTTTCAGTGAGACCCCACTGCTTCAGTGGTCCTTTTCTTTAATGCCATGATCTCAAGTTGCATTAGCTTTGTTGCACTTAGCAGTTCTCAGTGCTGCAGAAATCACTTGTCATCCCTCTAATGGTTTAGGTGGCAAACCGAAGAGAATCATTCTATGGTGAATCACAAAGACAATAGGACAGATTGATGTGCAGCAAGTGGTCATAAAGAGGATATTGCAGGAGTTGCCAGCGGAGTAAGAGCTTTGTGATGTCTTCCAGATGTCAGGCTAAAACTCTTCCATTTAGAATGCAGATAAAACTGTGATATGGAAGATTTGCAAGCGCCAGTGCTTGGCTGCACAATAAGTAAAGTGCTGAGAAATGTTCTTCACATGCTGCTCCTCTGAACTTGTTGCCAGTGGGTAAGGCAGTGTCCGGCATACTAAATGCACTTATTTTTTTGTTAAAAGGTGAAGAATAAGTGGGGGGGGGGGAGGAGGACTACCCATGCTGCCATGCATGGAAGATAGTCGTAGTAGCATTAGCAGAAAGGACAGTACTGGTAGAGCTGTATTATGGGTAGACACGTTGTACTCAAGGGCTATTACAGGATTGCGGGTGACATGATGTCTTATATATCAACCAAGGAGCTTTGGCATGGGCAGAGAGTTGAAGCTCAGTCTTCTGTGCCTTTTGAATGCTGCTACTACACTGACTCTCAGAAATTTGTTTAAAGTGTAGGTTTCATTAAGGTCACCACTTGGCTCCTTCTGCTCACATGAGCAGCTAAAGGCAGCCTAACAACATTTTAAATAAGTATACCAGAAACTCTGTGATGCAATGTCCATACTAGAAAACTTGCTTTGTCATAGCATTGTAAACCAAGGATTCTCAGTGATTTACAAATCTTGGAATGTTTGGGAGCAATAAACCAGGATCTCAAGTTCAGAAGTTGTAATATGTTTTCAGAATACTTCTTTATAATGTCTGCCTGCTTGCTGATGGCCTGGTAAATGGTGCAATCAAATAAAAAGATGCAGCTTTAAAGAATAAGCGAAGCCTATTGCAAAATTTATGTTGCCTGTGAAAGTACAGTTTAAGTCATATTGATAAATGCCCAGGGCAAACAGAAAATTCTGGAAGCCTTCAGTGTATTTTATACTTTTTGTATAGAATGCATAGAAAGAAGGCGACCACGTTTTAACTGTGACTGCATGAACGGTGGTTGGCACGGCGTCCCTGTGTTGGCTGCAACAGACACACAGATTTTTGTTGAAAGAGAATCCATTGCTGCTAATGGGGGAAGTGGCACTTTCCCAGAAGCTGCCATTTAATCTATATGATTTGAAGTGTCTCTCTGGAGCCAAGGGTCTTGAGGACCACAGGCTCACAGTGGAACACCTGCTTGGCAAACAGGAAATCCCAGGCTCAGTTCTTCGCATCTTGAGTGAAAAGAATGGAAAAGGAGGAGATAGGAAAGATCTCCGCCTGGCCGCCGCTGCTGGGAGATTTCAGCGCTGAGCTGGATGGACAAAGAGTCTGACCCAGTGTGTGGCACCTTCCTAAGCTGCATCCTATTTTTTCTCATGCATAATGCAGCTACAAAGCCATTGGTTGTGTAAGTTGCCATGGAGATCTGGCTTGGATTCCTATAACCCAGGGATCCACATTTGGTGGATCACACCCTACTTCCTGTCACCACTGGCTTTCCTGGCTAGGGCTGAGGGAAGATGCCCTGCTGGCATCTAGAGAGCCACATGTGGCCACATCCTGTTACATCCAGGTCATACAGATTAAACTGACATGAAGTGACATACTGCGTTCCAGTGCGGATTTGTGGCATTGTTCCAGAGATCAGTGCAATATATCTAAGTTACCCTCACCTGTGTGTGTGTGTATGTAGCAAAGTGCAATCATTATTGCTGACTGTCCGCATGCAAGATAATGCTGTCTCCTGCACTGATGTGTGGGAAGAAGAATCCACGATGAAGTAGCCCTAAGGCTATTCACAGAGTCCAAAAGAAACTCTTTTAAAAAAATTCACAACCACTTGATTCTTCACTTCATCTTTGTTAACATGCCACCCCTTCTTATTGGCAGTTGATGGTGATAAACGTCATGTGAAGGATTTTGCTCTTTGGAAGGCAGCCAAACCTCAAGAGATATACTGGGATTCTCCCTGGGGGAAAGGAAGACCTGGCTGGCACATTGAATGTTCTACGATATCAAGGTCAGCTTTTCTAAACTCCCTAATCTTGTTTCTTTCCAAGTATATATTGGCAAGCAATAACAGAGTTACGCTACCCTGATCAGTTGAAATTGTCAGTTTAAAGTTGGCAAAATGCTTTTAATAATAATAATAATAATAATAATAATAATAATAATAATAATAATAATAACCAAAAGCAGATCGCAATTGCAGTCTGGGAAATCCCTTAAGTTCCCATTTGGAAATAGGTTCTTCTGAAGGCCAACGAAGGCCGCTGGCTCTTGTTGCCTCTGTGTGCCATACCCTTGGCTTGCTCCAGTGCCACATAGCATTGCCAGACAGCACAATAAGCAAGGAGGCCTCTCCCTGATTGGGAGATGCGTCCATCGCACTTTGAAGCCAAGCCCTTGTTGTCCATGCTGTGGCTTCTCATGGCCTTTGCGGAGGATGCAAGACCACAGTAGAAACAGGGAGATGCTGAGAAGCTTTTCTGGTGCCTGTCTGCTCTCAGGTGTTGAAAAGGCTACTTATTGAAGGCTTTTTTAGGGAGGAGGCAGGGAAATGACTTAACATCTTCCTCTGCCTTTTGGCACTGGGGTGGGAAAAGAGTTTTAATTTGAGAGTCCCGATGAAGTAGGTCCACTTCTGACATAAGTAAAGGTGCTCTTCCTTCTTTTCTTCCTTTCCTCCTTCCTTCCTTAGAACACTGATATCCTGTCTATACTAAACAACTCTCAAGACAGCTTACAGCAAAAGCAGCACAATTAAAATAGAAGATAAAAACATTAACATTCTTACCTTAAAATACCACCAAACCTTGAAATGCCAGGTAAATAAAAAAGTTTTGGCCTGGTGTTGAAATGAATAAAGCATTGGCACCAGGCACACCTCTCTGGGGAGCAGGTTCCAAAGCTGAGGTGCCACCACAGAAGAGGCCCTTCTCCAGGTAGCCACTCTTATAACCTCCTTCAAAGAGGGATCCTGAAGAAGGACCTCAGAGGAAGATCTTGAGATGCTCATTCAGATATCTGTTTAGGGCTTTGTAAAAGTTAACGCCTTAAACTGGGTCAGAACTTGAGTGATAGCCAGTGCAGATGGTACAGGACCAGTGTTAAGTGGCCATTCCTGCTGGTTCCTGTCCAAAGCCTGGCTGCTCCATTTGTTCCAACTGAAATATCCAGACTTTCTTCAAGGGTAATCCCATGTAGAGTGCATTACAATAGTCTAACTAGGAGTGTATCAGAGCATGGGTCATTGGTGCTAGACTCTGCTCATCCAGGCTAGGACATAGCTGATGGACCAGCCAAAGCTGGTGGAAAGTGCTTCTCGCTACAGCAGTCACCTGGAATTACAGAGATAATTCTGGGTCGAGGAGCACTCCCACACTATGCACCCTGTCTCTTAAGGGGAGTGCAATCCAATCCAGAACAGCTATCATTTACCAGGATAGCTGAGCCACCTTCCAAAAGAACCTCCATCTTATCTGGATTAAATCTCAGTTTATTGGCCCTCATCCAGACCATCACACCGGGCAGACACTGATTCAGAAGAGTCATCGCCTCACCTGGATTAAATGTAAAGGAGAGGTAGAACTGGATGTCATCAGAGTACTGGTGACATCTCAACCCAGACCTCCAGATGACCTCTTCCAGCAGTTTCATGTAGATGTTGAATAGCATGGGAGATGAAATGGAACCGCGTGAAACTCCATGGCATAATTGCCGTAGTGCAGCGCCATAATCCCCCAGTGCCACCTGCTGGAACCAGCCAACCAAGTACGAGCGGAACCATTGCAAAGCAATACCTCTGACTCCCAACTTGGCCAGCCTATCCAGAAGGATACCATGGTTAATGGTATCAGAAGCCACTGAGCAGTCCAAAGAACAAACAGGGGCATACTGTCTCTGTCCCTCTCCCAGCACAGGTCATCATACAGGGTGGCCAAGGCAGTTTCTGTCCCAAAGTCAGGCCTGAAACCAGTCTGGAACGGATTCAGATGGTCAGTTTCTTTCAAGAGTGCCTGGAGTTGTCTGGCCACCATCTGCTCAAGCACCTTGCCCACAAATGGGATATTAGTCATCGGACTATAATTGGTGGCAGCTTCTGGGTCCAGGTTTGCCTGCTTTAGGAGAGACCTAATAACTGCCTCCTTCAAGGGAACAGGAACCAGCCCCTCCCTCAGAGTGGTGTTTACAACTTCCTGGACCCAAGTATGCATCCTGCCCTTGGCTTTGATGATGAGCCACGAAAGGCAAAGGTTAGTAGACAGGTGGTTGGACTTGTCCACATCCTCAGGCTGCAATAATTGAAACTTACCCAACAAAGATGGATTAGACAGTGCTCTGGACACCTGTACTACAGGAACAGTGCCAGTTATGGAGTCCAGCTCATGGCAAATCTGAGCGACTTTATCCCTAAAGTGCTGTGCAAATTCATCACAGTGGGCCACTGAGGGTTTGAGAGCATCCATGGTGGACTCAGTGTAAGAGGCCTTGCACCACTCGGGAAAGCTCCGCTGGACGACCCTGAGGATGCAGTGGAAGCAGAGAAGAAATTCTTTGCCACCCTCACTGTCTCAGCATAGGTTCAGTAATGAGCTCTAAGTAGTGTTTAGTCAGATTCAGCACAGGTTTTTCCTCACCTGCGTTCTAGCCTTCTCCTAGCCTGCTTCATTGGCTGCAGCTCAGATGTGTACCAAGGTGCAGCATGGGTTCTGTTGGGGGAGAGGATGTTTAGGTGTGACGGTGTCTCCCACCCGGGTCATTTCTGCGTTGCACAGAGCAATCAGGGCGCCGACAGGAACACCAGCCATATCAATTGGAAAGTCCCTCAGAAATACAGCCATCTAGAGGTGAATGGAGGTACTGCTGCATCCAAGCAAGTGGCCCAGATTCCTACCATTCTTTAATACATGTGAAAGAGTGAACATGTGCTCAGGTCTTACATTTCCCCCCCCCCACTCCATCACCCACATAATGGCTACCCTCACTCCACACTGCAAGCTATTCTTCAAGGGGTTTGAAATGCAGCTTGTCACAAAGTAATTTGGCAGTCATGCTGCGATGCTGAACTTCCCTGCACTTAGAACATCCTCTGTTCGTGCCTTCTTCGAGTGTACATGAAGGAGTGAGAGGGTGTGGAAATTTTGGATATGCTTGCAAGGAGGTGTTACTTCCCTCAAACAGATGACATTTGTTTGTGGGGAAATGTAGAGAAGCTTAAAAACTTGAAATATTTGTTTCACCATCAATACCATCTATTTTGAACATGTAAAACTACACAGGAGAGAAATGCCTGGATATTGTTGTGTAGATTTTTATCATCATCATCATTTTTAGTTTTATGCTGCCGAATAAGCTGCTGAAGTTCTCTGGGCAGTTTACATATGAATGAGCTCATGTTTTGTAAAACTGTGATATTACAGTTTTTGGTGTGAAAATGTGTTATTTCCTAAAATCAATATTTTTACATTTTGCCTAGAACCTCATTTGTTTTTCTTGTAACTCCTGGAGAAATGCTATGAGGGAAGGGAAGAAGATGAAAAGCAGCTCATATTCTTCCAAACATCTCCCTTTCTTTCACTTGAGCCCTGCATATTGCTGCCTAAAAAGGGCTCACTGTTGGAGTACTTACTCCTGTATCATGTAGAAATAGAAATATGAAACTGTGCCAGGGGCTTGGCTGTCTGTATTGTTCATGAGCAAAATGCTTGACGTACTACACCAAGTGCAAGGGGACACGGTGTCTCCCAGTGAACTGGGCTAAGCCACAGCTTTGGGCGAGGGGTCTCATGACCATAATGATGGGGTCTGGTACCTCATTGGTGTGTTGTGATTCTTATGCGCCCCTGTATATTCCAAAGTATCAAAAGTATCTTAAACATCCTTTTAAGAAGTCTTCAGGAAATGCTAAAGATAGTCACAATTGTCCAGTCCATGCTATATGACATCCTTCCTCAAGCATGTGCCCTCCAGATGTGCTAGACTACAACTCCAAACGTGCAGGTGGGCAAATCTAACATCTGGACCAGGGAACTGAGCCACTGTCATTTTTACAGTTTCCAGAAGCCTGACCTACCTTGCAAGGTTGTTGTGAGGACAAATGGGTGAGGAGAAGGATCATGTAAGAGACTTTGGGTTCCTTGTAGGAAGAAACAAAATCAGAAAATACATGTATTCTTATTATTATCCTCAACTGCTGTAATTCTGTAATAAATATGTGGCAAGTGGAAACTTATCTTTTTATCCTGGTTTGTAGCAGTGCCCTATAATTGGAAAGTAAAGCATCACTTCTCTGGCTGTGCATGCAACTTGTAAGCAGTTGCTCATTCTGCTTATTCGGTATGGGATCAAAACAGAGGGATAAACTGTTTTATTGCCTGTGTTGCTTTGTTGCAGGACACTGAGCAAGATATAAGAACTCTGAAAAACCAGTGTCCCTGAATAATACCAGATAATTAGGGGGACTGGAGAGAAGTCCCCTGCTCCCCCTCCCGCCGCGGCTACTTCTGTCTCCCTCTGCGCTCATCTCAGCCTGCTTCCTCGCGGCCACTGCAGGCATGGAGGTAGGCGGCCTCAGTGGGGATGGTAGCAGCAAGGGAGAAAGGAGTCATTGAGCTGGGAGAAGGAGCAAGGAGACCTCCAGGGGGGGTAGTGCAGGAAAGCAGGGGCTTCCAAGTGGGGATGGGAAGCTGTTGGAAGTCCTGGTGGGCACCAGCACACCTGCAGACATCCCGTGGCTGACCCTGATGTAGGTGATGGACCAAATGTATGACGAAATGGCATGAATTGGCTTAATGCCCTTTAGCACTTTATAAATGCACTTAGGACTACTTTCAAGAAAAGTTGCTTTGATGGTGATACACGTGGGCAGATGCTGTAGCTTCTCAAATAGATGCCAAAGCTGGGTTTCATTTTTTCTTTACTGATTTGAAGCAGGAGCTGGGATATACAATTTCTCTTAAGTCCTGCATTTGTAGAGTATTCTGGCCAGTCTCTCCTTCACTGTTGATTTAATCCATCAATATTTTTTGTTACAGCCTCGTGTTTGGAGGTCATTTGGATATTCATACTGGTGGGATAGATCTTGCATTTCCCCATCATGAAAATGAAATTGCTCAATGTGAGGTGTATCATCAGTGTGAGCAATGGGGAAATTACTTTCTACATTCTGGTAAGTAAATTCTTTTACATGTTAGTGCTTCTCTTATTTAGAAATTGGACTCTTCATGTAGTTATGCTGCTATCCAGACAAAACCCAATTTTTAGGAGATCAAATGTAAGAAAAATAATTTGAAACATCCAGTAATTTTATCTTGGTGCTCTTTAGTTCTTTGGTTATCTCTCATATCTGAGAGGTATTATGTACTTATGGAGAGAACAAAAACACTTCTACATTGCACTGTTGCACAAGACTGGGGTATGAGATTATGTTGGGCTTGCACATGACTCAGCTGAGTAGTTTGGGACTTATCCAGGCCGTCTTCTACTGGGAACAGGTGGTGGCAGCGTGGTGCGGTCAGTGCGGTGGGGCTGACCGTAATGCTAAACCCAGCACCAACCTGTGCTTGGATCTTGATGCATGCAACGCAGTGATATCCACGGAAGGGGATTTCCTCAGTCTTCTCCCCCTGTGCCAATTGCTCATTCTCTTTAGAATTGGACCTTCCTCTTGACCAGAGTGGGATGGGGTGCGGCACGGGGCGGGGCATTGCCCCAAATCTGGCAGAGCCGTGGTGCAGGTCACAGCACGTGTGTTGACCCGCTGCTGAGCTCCTTTTCAGTGCGGCCGCTGCCCCACCTGGCTTCGCTCTGGAGAGCCCCTCGTGCTCAAGAGAGGAGTTGAGGGTGGCATCTTGGGGAGGGGACAAGACCATCCCCTTTGGTGAACTCCTTTGATTCACGGAGCCTGTGCTGCTCAGTGCAAGGATGTTTGCAGGGAAGTATCTTTCGGCAGATGTCGTGTGTGGCTCCAAAGGTTTGCCTCTGTCCTCTGTGGGGAATTAGGGAGGAAGCCAAGAGCAGGGCTTCTCTTCTCCAAAAGGGACTACTCATTCCAGTTCCTGCCAGGGGAGGGCATTCCTAGTTGTCCCCAAGCCGCCTTTGCTCACCTGAAGGAGAAGGATGCTTTCATAGATAAAAGAGTTCCAGGACAGTGTTACATCACTAAACATCTCTCTGAAAAAGGAGGGAATGTCGTCCGATTCAGAAGACGTGTGTGTATGAATTGAGCAGAGTAAGATATATAGCTTCCTGAAGAGGGAGTGCCTGCATCTGTATTTGTGTATAAATCTGGTGTGGGCATTTATTCATTCTGAAGTTTGTTGATGTGAGAACGGGTTTAGGTGCATTTGTCATCCCAGCAGTACCGTTTGCGTATGATATGGTGACAAGCAGACATCATTTGGCATGATGCAAAGCCTTTTTATGACTTTTTGCAGAGTTTAGAGAGGCTTCCTGATTAATGGGTTTCACAGTTTCTGTAATGTGTTTGGGAAGCAACAGCCTGTTCAGTGGAATGAATCAGAAGGCTGAAAGATTCACTATTCTCCAGAGAGTGCGCGTGACTCTAGTATTCAAAGGCTTGTGTGTGTGCTGCATAGATCTTTACCTGTCAGTGGCATCACTGTGGCAGCCAATACATATCGTTCCTCTCTTGAATTCTTTAAAAAATTTCCTTAACGTAATGTGAATTCTTCGTAGCTGGTTAGCCAGTGCCAGAAAATAAGTCATCAGTGTTCTGCAACAGAACATAGTTCTAACATGCTAACCCCATTCAAGAATACTGCCTCAGAGTTTTTCTTGAAATATTTCTGGGAAAAAAATAACAGCTGTACCATGACACTAGATAGTTGGTTTGCACAGTACATGTTATTTGTACAAAAAGTTATTTCAAGTAGAAATTCTATGAAAGCAGTGTATAAATTGCCTTGTGTGATACTCAGTTGCACTTATATGTACAGTATATCACAGAAGTGAGTACACCCCTCACATTTTGTAAATATTTTATTATATCTTTTCATGTGACAACCCTGAAGAAATGACACTTTGCTACAATGTAAAGTAGTGAGTATACA